CTCTCTCTCTCTCTCTCTCTCTCTCTCTCTCTCTATCTCCTCTCTCTCTCCCTTTTCCCCTCCCTCTCCCACTCCCTCTCTTTCTTCCCTTGTAGTGGAAGCTATAGTTGATCCTTCTCAAAAATCTACAATCTCAAGAAAGAGTGTTCATTTTACCAAATTCATCTTTAAGACTTTTGTATTTGCAACTTTTTTTGTCCACCTTCATTTGCCCTTCATGCTGGGTACTACATGTAACCTTTCCATCAAAATTTGGATGATATCACTGGAAGAAGTAGTAAAAATGTCCACCTACAGAGCTTTTTTCATTTCAAGGGGTAAATATTGTAATGTTAAAGCAGCCATTAGTAGAAGTCTCCCCAACCTTGGATAATGTTCCCTTTGGCTATGGTTTTCAGAGTTCATTCTCTCTCTGTCTCTCTCCCTCTCTCTCACTGTCACTTGTATGGATTTGTGAAATTATGCTTCTGTGGAACTTTTAATAGTAGAAAGACAACCTGTTGATATTTTCCCTCCTCCAGAAAGTGACGGCTTCATCTGAGAATTTCCATGTTGGTGAAAATGATGAGAATCAGGACCGTGGTAACTGGTCCAAAAAATCGGATTATCTTTTGTCTATGGTTGGATATGCAGTAGGATTGGGGAATGTGTGGAGATTCCCATATTTGACCTACAACAATGGCGGAGGTATTGCGTGCGCACACACACACACACACACACACACACACACTTCTTTCCCCTGCAGTTTTAAGTGAGGCGCTGTATGCCCTCTGAGGATATTTTAAGAATTTAGGAAATATATGTTTTTGATTAGATGAAGGATTGGAAAAAAGCATACTGCATTCGTTATTAGACTATTAGTTGCAAGCTCATGTTAGGAATCTGGCTTCACTAAATCTTCAGATATAAACTTGATAAAAGTTGTATATTTAGCACTTCTAAGTTTCTGATTTGAGGTCTTGTGTAACCTTCAACTATGACTTACTCTTCTTAATTTATATGTTTTTATGATAATCTGTTCAGATTTCAGTAGTGTTTTGCCTAATTTATAGAGCAATCTAAGCAAGACAGCGAATTCTAGTGTTAATAAAGTGCTCAAATACATTTATTCTGCAAATACAGTAAGGCATTGCATATTGGAAATTTAAGTGTGGAAGCAGTTGATTAAAAATTAATTATTGTTACATGTATCCCAAGTTGAATTGACTATGTAGAACATATTTCTAAAATGCAATAGACTTTAGTTCAAGCCTAGGTGTTTAATTTCTGCTAAATAATACTGTTTTTTAAAATTATTTTTTATTTTGAAATGCACATTTTTTTAGAATTAGTTTCAGCTGTGCATCATGGATGGGGTAAATAATACTGTTTATACCTCAGAAATTATTAAGAAAGACTCAATTAGATCAAGAAGAACAAAATAACTCTGAGATGACACACAAAAGGATACAAAATGAATTGCACAATTCCCTAGCAATGTTGAAACAACTTTTCACCTACACCATATTTTATTTACTTGTAATTACAGGTTCTCTTAGAAGTGTAGAGGTGACATGCCCTTATGTTTCATAATTGGGTATCAGTGAAACTGTGTCACTATAATTATTTTTCTTAGTACAATAGGATTTTATGTGGTGATATTTCAGTCTTATATTCCTTATTAATTAGTTGCATTAAAAAATTCATACTGGCTTTCAGAGACTTAAGAAAGGATTTTTATCAAACACTTCAAGTATTGTGGCAAAAAAATTCCCCTAAAGCCTAAGTCATTTAGTTCTCGGTTTTGTCTAAATTTGAGTTGCAAAATGAGTGAAAATCACAATATTTTAGGTGTCTATATCCTAAGGTCCAGTGTAGTGAAGAGAAGCACTCAAACTCCTTTCCAGCCTCTTGTATTCAGGTTTAGAATAAGAAATTCCCTGTGATTTGACATAATACATAGGCCCAGGAGTTGCCATCAATTTCCAGGAACTATATTAAACTAGATTTAATACAGAATTTTTAAAAATAGCCAAAACAAAATAGTATTATTTATTGTACCCTATTATCTCTTTCACCATTTCCTCTAAAATTTAATATAACATATCGGATCTTAGTTTTTAAAGATAACATTATTTGGGTAATTGATGATCTAGGCTCTCTCAGTTGCTTCTTTCTCTCTTGTCCAAGGGTAGAAGATGAACATGAAATTCAAATTTGTCAAATATTAATAGATCTGAATTTAAAAATACAGTCAAGTTTTAAAAACTATTGCTAAAATCTGGAGTTATTTTTATCCGTAGATACTTTTAACAGTTTATGAAAGAGAAGTATCATACTACCATAGGGTCTAGGCCAACAGTATTACCAATTTGTCACCACTGTGTTGTATTAACAATTTACCAACATAGTTGTTATTAATAGTAAAATAATATAATAGGTGAAAAACCATATATGACACTGAGGAAAATAATTGTTTATTTTTTCCAAAACAACCTATTTAAACTGGGTTAGTAAGCCTTTTATAATTGCTATATGTAAACAGGGGTATTTTGTATTACTTTTTCTTCATATTTATCATTAGCAGGACTTAAGCTTCTATTACTCATAATAGTGATGGTATGTATATTGCAACATCTGTAAAAACGTATTCGTCCCTATGGTCTAGTGACTAGTGACTTGTACCTAACAAGTACTTTATTGTCTCATTATTTTTAGCAGAATATATTTAGAGAGTTGGGGAATATGTAATTCCCAGGTATGACATTATAATGTCATAATATGAAAAATGCATGAGGAAAAAAATGTAACATGGATAAAGGAAATGTACATAATGCAAAAGCACATTTTTATACACTAATCCCCACATTTTCTTATAAAACTTTGTTAAGACTTCTAGAATACTTGACCAAGAAGTTTAAGATTCTTTCTCTGCTTTTATCCACAACCTGGTAAAATTTCTAATGAGCAACATTGTGCCCCAAAAGCAGGCAGAAAAAAGGTAAAATAATAAAAGTGTTTTAAAAAATAAAAAAGGGGCCTGTATCATCTAAATGTAAGATAACTAGTTCTTATAAAATCAAAAGTTAACTGAATGCATCTCAAAAGTTCAGATTCTTCTAACAGAAGACTTTATAACTATTTGGAGAATAATGACCTTAACTACAATGATTTCCACTCTGAACCACATTTAGCATTATCACCCTGTCTTAAAAATAGACCTTTTATTTTTAAAGGAGAAAGGAGGGAAACTAACTTTGAACTTATACTATATTCCTGCCATATTGACAAGTGTTTTCACATAGTCTCTGTAATTGAACCCTTACCACAAACTGATGAGTTGGTATGTATTGTCCTCCCCATTGATGAAGAACCCAAGGTTCAGAAGTTAGATAAATTGCCCCAGGTCACATAATTAGTAAACGGTGGAGCCAGGATAGAAACCTCAGTCATCTGGCTCATTCAATTCCTCTGGATTGCTTTTTATAAGCTTTTGTTTTTAATAATCACAACAACCTCATTGCAGAACACTGCCAGTCCTCATAGTTTCACTCAAAGTTGTTTTGTTGAAACATTGATGAGATGCCGTAGGAACTTAACTCTTGTTTATGTCAATTAGCCTATGGTAAAAGTGGTTTCATTAAATATCGTTTCACTTAAAATCACAGAACCTATCAATGACATTAAGTGACAATTTACTGTACTAGCATTCCCATGTCATAGATGAGGAATCCAAAGTTTAGTAGTAAATTCAGGGCTAAACCCAGTACTCCACTATATGAGAATGTTTTCAAAATGTTATACTGATTGTCAAAGTGCTGTGAAGGTTTGGGGATACAAAAGTACTTTGGTTCTTTTTGCATTTTCTAGGTGCCTTCTTGATACCTTATGCAATTATGCTAGCATTGGCTGGTTTACCTTTATTCTTCCTGGAGTGTTCCCTGGGACAATTTGCTAGCTTAGGTCCAGTTTCGGTTTGGAGGATTCTTCCATTGTTTCAAGGTTGGTATTAAAATGTTTTCCTTATTGTTATTATTGGTCTATTCATGCATATAGTTGTCCTCACTGTGTGGAAGAAAAGTGTTTAAAATTTGGACAGGTTAACAGCAAAGAAGCATGCATTATTTTTTCTGCATATTTACCACTGTAGAATTTAAAAATCAAGTGTTAATTTTTATTTCTGTTTATCTCAAGATGCAGATATGGAAGAGGTAAGGAAGGATATTAGAGAGTGTTGTAAGAGTGTCATTCTTTTTCTATTTTCACATTTTAAATTATCTTGGCACATGGTCCAGTTGTGCATTAACTTCATGGCTCTGGCTTTTTTCTACTCCATGTGCAGTCTTTGTCTTCTTGCTTTTGCATATCTTTTACAATGCCTCATTCAGAAAAGTTGAAAGGCAGGTCACAATTTTTTTCTTGGATTCTCCTACTAGAATAGGACACTGGTATATTTCATAAAAACACCTTGATTGTTGTTAAACATCAAACAGTTTTTCTGTCTGAAGATTAGATCTCATTTTGGTATGTGCTAGCTGCTGAAAACTATTTGTAAAAGCCTCAATGCAACATCAAAAATAAATTTGTAGTGATGTGAGTAGAATATTGTGCTGGAATATTAAAGAAGATACCTCAAAAGCTAATCTTAAGCATAGGAGTTACATTCAGTATGGCAAACTGCATTTTGAAACTACTGAGTTAAAGAAACTTCGGAAGTTTAAATTCAGATTGTTACTGAGTTAATGAATTTTCTTTACATATACTAGTAGAAATGCTGTACACTATCCTTTCAGGACATTAATTCATAAGCTTTATCTTCTACTTGTCAAAATGTTGGTTTATAGATAAAGATGTGAGTATTGGTCAGTGAGTCAATACGATATGAACTATGAATAGTTTTTCTTTTTTCCTTCCTTCCTTTCTTCCTTTCTCCCTTCCTTCCTTCCTTCCTTCCTTCCTTCCTTCCTTCTTTCCTTCCTTCTTTTTTATAAGAATAGTACCAACTCTGACAAGAATTTACAGAATTAATAATAAAGAGCAATGAACATGGATTTTTCCTTATGTGAATTTGATGGATCAATACAGATCTTCTGCCCTTGATTTAGTACCTTTCTCTAATCAACTAAAAAACTGTCTCAGAAAACCAGTCATAAAAATAATTTTAAAGTTGAGAAGAAAGCTGTTTAGACAGTAGTACTGCTTCCCCCACCCCCCAAAAGAAAAAGTTGTTTGAAACAGCCTTCTCATTTAAAAATAGATTTTGTGGAAATTGAGATGCAGTTTTTTTTATGAATTAGCAAAAGAAATTTTATTTGTTAATATTTTATTTTAACTTCTCTCTTTTTCAGGTGTGGGAATTACAATGGTCCTGATATCCATTTTTGTGACCATATATTACAATGTCATAATTGCCTATAGTCTTTACTACATGTTTGCTTCTTTTCAAAGTGAACTACCATGGAAAAGTTGTTCTTATTGGGCAGATAAAAACTGTAGCAGATCACCTATAGGTAAAAATTCATTTATTTATTTTTAAAAATGTCGTTAACTCTGCTTCATTCTTTTATAATTTCTTTTTTATATATTTTTTTATTTTTCGGGGGTGTGTGTCATTTTCTAACCAATTTAGGAGCAGTTTTAAGCAAGCTATAGGTTATTGATGAAACCAGCATAAAGCACGTATAACCTGAAAATTGAGTAATGCAATATTAACTTCTGAAGGCAGCCAGTAAGGCTAAATCACTACTAGGAGTACTTGCAGGTCTAAGTCATGAGCAGGAGAGAAGAAAGACAATGGGAAAATAATGAAGAGAAAAAAGCACTATCCATGATAGTATAATAGTGATGTGTTTCAGGAGATAGTGAGTGTTGTCCATGTCATATGTTGCTAATCATTGGGATACTGTAGCATCAATATTTTAGACTATTACCACTAGGACTACCTATGTATGTCAGAGGATAAAGTGATAAAGACTGAACACTTCTTAGAAATTTAAAAGTGTCATTTTCCATACAGGTTAAATAAGTCCACATTCTAAAAGTTCCTTAGGGCACTAAGTCCCAACTGAAATTATTTTTACTTTATAGCTGTTATTACTATAAAAACAATCACAGCTAATAAGGGCAGATATTTTCATATTCACCCCCAGCTTAGTAATATAGAAGGTTTAAAATGCTGAATGTGCATGGTTTATTCCATTTGTGCAATTTCTGCTCCACCTTTACCAAGTAACAATTTAGGCAATGCTTGAAATATTTTACCATTAAAAAGTACTCTTGTAAAACTAAATATATGTCTGTGTGTGCATTTTTTAAAATAATTTTTAGTAACTCACTGTAATGTGAGTACCAGAATAATGGAGATCATCCAAGTGAATAAAAGCTGGGCAGATGCCAACAATTTAACCTGCAGAAATGGAAGTGAAGTTTATCAGCCAGGGCAGCTTCCCAGTGAACAATATTGGAAGTAAGTATCCTACACAATCTACTTCTTAAACAGATGTTACTAAAACATTTTTATAATTAACAATAAAATATTAATCAGCTCTTTTCTTAACTCAAAATGAGTAGAAAAAAAGGGAATCGAAGCAAATTCTACTCCATTTCACTCAAATGTTTACTTATCCTGTGTGAGTACTAGTAACCTGCAAAATTAACTCATAGTAAACAAATTGTCATTTATAAATTAGTTATTTAAATGGGCACAACACTGTCAGTAATGATTTATCTAGCACTCATTAACTTTTAAGGCATTGCTTTGAAGAAAAAAATATTCAAATTTTAGACTATAATTTGCAAGTTCTAATAATAAACAATTTGGTGATAGTAATTTTGGGGTAAAATTTCTATTTAAGGCTGCAATTCTTCATTATTCATTTTGCTTATTATTGTCACTATATAGTAGAAAGAGAAGTTTTGGGTTATATTTGCTTTTATTAATTTTAAATGTTCTCTATTTTTTTCACTGTATACCTACCTTTGACCCTGACCTAACTTCCTTGACTATTGCAGTAATGAGCTCTTCCTCATCTGCATGTTAATTCTCTGGTGTGATCCTCTTAAAACTTGGAGGTTGAAATGTTCCAAACACCAAGCTAAGAATTAAAATCTTGGATCTGTGCATGCCCCTAGAGGAAATCGTAGTATTTTACAGAAAGTCTTTGAAAAAGGCATAAGTAATGGGATCATTTAGGTATGATGATAAATACAAGTAGGATGAATAAGAAAATATTTTAATACAATTTAAAATGTTTTCTTTGTCATTTTAACTTGAGAAAATACTGTAATGAGTAAAATGAAATAACTTGACATAAGGTTAATTTTTTTACATAAAGGAGATTTGAAATATTAGGGAAAACTTGTAACTGAAGGAATCAGTAGATCTCTTATTCTAGGGTTTGAAACTTTGGATTGGCTGCAATTAAGCCTAAAGTTCAGAGTCTGGCTTTTCATTGAACTATTTTTGCCTCTCTATACAACAGTATCAATAAAAGGCTCACATGACATTGGTGTATTAATAAGATAAAATACTCATGAAGCTTCCTCCTGGATGAAATTCAATGTATTAGGCCAAATGATTCTGTGTTCATAAAAGAGCTTATGTGTTTTCAGCAAAGTGGCACTCCAACGCTCAAATGGAATGGATGAGACTGGAGAAATTGTGTGGTATTTGGCACTTTGTCTTCTTCTGGCTTGGCTCATAGTTGGTGCAGCACTATTTAAAGGAATCAAGTCTTCTGGGAAGGTAACTTGAAAAACACATTAGATAGTGATGGAACTGTTTTCCAATTTTATTGTAGTTCAATGTCAAGCATTATAAAATTCATGTTTTCTTTTTCCTATAATGGGAACATTCAAATGTGTAATAGTGTTATAAGTAAGCAGCCTAGTTCTAAGAAAATACTTAAGATCACTGCTATTGTCAAAAATGAAACATAACAAGCACAAACTAGTACTAAAGTTGTACAATTACTCAAAACTTAGAACTTTCTATCTGATACCGTATTCTGAGGCTTGCAAGTATATTTAAAATTTTTCTATCCTACTATATAAATAAGCATCTTAAATGGAATTTTATATTGCAATGTTTGGTTTCAAAAGTCTAGACCCTTGTTATACAGGGTAATAATTTCAGGATTCTCTTAGTTGGAGAGAGATAAAAAAATAAACTATGTAATCATTCTCTTTAAGTTTGCTAAAATGAACTCAGAGTTCTCTCTCTGAACAGAGTCTGCCTCTGAAAAACATTATATTTTCCCACTTCATTGTTTTTTTAAACTTTCAAAAAGCATCATGGAAATTTCTAAGAATAGCATGAAATTTTCTCTGTGAGCAGTTGTACAGTACTGAGAAAAGCGAATGTTTACATGCTTTTAACTACAGAGTGAAATTTCCTTAAAAATGGAGGATAGGAATAACTGTGTATAGTATCTTTGTATTTCCGGTACAATATCTAGCACATTCAGTTAATATTAAGATGTGACAAAACATGCTATGAAATCATAGAAATACTGTGAACATCACAAAGTCACTGGAAACTTTTTAAAATAATGTTTCAATTGCACATTTTTGAAACCCTTGGATCCTTTTTGATGTTAATATTGAAAGCATCCATTAAAGGCCACTTACACAGGCAATTAATTTTTAATAGTCCCTAGATGACTTGTTTAAACCATCTACCTGGGCATATTATCAAACTTAGGACATCTATAGATCAGAGAAATCATCCACATTAATGAAAAGCCAGCCTCAAAGGCAACCTGCTTATCTGGAAGTGTGTGTTACCCAGGACACAAGCAGTGCACTTGTATGTGTGCTATCAAACTGTCTTATTGGTCATTTTAAGAATACTAATAACAAGTGTCCATTATTCCCTTTAATCAGCTTTCTTGGAATTTGGACATCTACTAGGTTATTTTTCCATCTGCTTGAGGACTGAGTACATACTAATCATTGCAGGGTTTATAATCATTCCCCCTCCCCCTAATGCAGTAATTTACCAAGAGGTGATACTTAGTCTCCTCAGACATTTATAAGGATATATTTTGGAAAACACTCCATCTGGATTCCAAGTTATCACTGCTGATATAGTAATGTATCTACAACATGAACCTGGAAATATTGTTTCATACATCAGAGTCTTTTCTTTTTTAGGTCAAATAAAAAGAAAGAAGTCAAATTTATCAAATATTTTTCAGATCCTACAAGCATAATTTCTTTGCTGTCTAGCTGCAGACACCATAGCCATCTCTCTGGAATAGGATTATTTACTAAATTTCCTAATACCAGATCATTCCTGGGGTGATTCCCGTGAGACATTCTTTTAATGTCTTGCTAGTCTATATTTATTTACATTAAACATTTTTGTATTAATATTTAAAACTGAGATTTGTTTGTAGTGCATATTTTGTTTGTTGTTCATCTTTGACATGTTTTTTTTCCTTCCATCATCTTATTGGACCCCCTTTTCCTTCTTCTAACATGGCCCCTCCCCATTACCCTCTGGTAACCACCAAATTGTAGCCTAAATTTTTGTTTCTTTGTTTGTCTGTCTTGTTCCATTGTTGTTTTCAGTTTTATATGACACACATGAGTGAAGCCATATGGTTCTGGACTTTTTCTGTCTGACTTATTTCACTTAGCATGATAATCTCAAGATCCATCCCAGTTGTCGCAAGTGGCATCTTTTCTTATGGCCAAGTAACATTTCATTGTTTATATGTACCACATCTTCTTTATCCAATCATCTATCAAAGGACACTTCAATTGTTTCCATGTCTTAGCCACCCTGAATAATGCTGCAATGAACATAGGGGTACATATATTTTACAAATAAATGTTTTCAGATTTTTGAGGGTAGACATACAGAAGAGGGATTGCTGGGTCATATGGTAACTTTTTTCTTAATTTTTTGAGGAACCTCCACACTGCCATCTATAGTGGATGTACCAATTTACATTCCCACCAGCAGAATATGAGGGTTCCTTTTACTCTGCAGCCTCTCCAACACTTGTTATTATTTGTCACGTTGATCATAGCCATTCTAAGAGGTGTGAGGTGGTATCTCTTTAGGGTGTTGATTTGTAGTTCCCCAATAGCTTGGAGTTGAGCTTTTTTTCATACATCTGTTGGCCGTTTGTGTGTCTTCTTGGGAAAAGAGTCTGTTCAGGTCCTCTGCCCATTTTTTAATGGATTGTTCATTTTTTGTTGTTGTTGTTAAGTTGTACAAGTTCTTTATATATTTTTGATGTTAGCCCCTTATTGGAGGTGTTGTTTGCAAATATCTTTTCCCATTTGGCTGGTTTCCTCTTTGTTTTGTGGATGGTTTCTTTTGCTGTACAGAAGCTTTTTAGTTTGATGTAGTGCAATTCATTTATTTTTGCTTTTATTTCTGTTGCCTTTGATGTCAAATTCATAAAATCCTCTTTGAACCCAAGGTCCATAAGTTTAGTACCCATACTTTCTTCTATGCAATTTATTGTTTCAGGTCTTATGTTTAGGTTTTTGATCCATTTTGAGTTAAATTTGGTATATGGTGACAGATAGCAGTCCAGATTCATTCTTTTGCATGTGGCTTTCCAATTTTCTCAGCACCATTTATTGAAGAGGCTTACTTTTCTCCATTGTATGTTTTTGGTTCCTTTGTTGAAAATTATCTGCCCATATATATGTGGGTTTATTTCTGGGTTCTCAATTCTACTCCATTGGTCTCTGTGTCTGTTTTTCTGCCAATACCATGCTGTTTTGATTATTGTCACTTTGTGATATACATTGAAGTCAGGGAGAGTAATACCTCCAGCCTTGTTTTTTTTCTTAGGCTTGCTTTGGGTCTTTGGGGTCTTTTGTGATTCCAGACAAATCTTATATTTTTTGTTCTATTTCTTTAAAAATGGCATTAGGATTTTGATGGGGATTGAAGTAAATATATATATTGCTTTGGATTATATGGCCATTTTAACTATGTTGATTCTTATATTCCATGAACACAAAATATCTTTTAATTTCTTTGTCTTCTTCAGTTTCTTTTAATAATGTATTATAGTTTTCAGTGTATAGGTCCTTCACGGTTTTGGTTGAGTTCATTCCTAGGTATTTTATTCTTTCATTTGCAGTTGCAAAATAGATTTTCTTTAAAATTTCATTTTCTGAATTTCATTGTTAGTATATAGGAACACAATGAATTTTTGTACATTGATTTTGTGTCCTGCAAGTTTACTGTATTTGTTTATTGTTTCTAAAAGTTTTTGATGGAGTCTTTAGAGTTTTCTATATAAAGAATCATGTCATCGGCAAAAAGTGACAACTTATCTTCTTCATTCCCAATTTGGATGCCTTTTATTTCTTTCTCTTGCCTGATGGCTCTGGCTAGGACTTCTAATACAATGTGGAATAAGAGTGGTGATAGGGGGCGTTTCTGTCTTGTTCCCGATTTTAGAGGAAAAGCTTTCAGTTTTTCACCATTAAGTTTGACATGAGCTGATGGTATGCCATATATGGCCTTTATTATATTGAGGTACTTTCCTTCTATACCCATTTTATTAAGTGTTTTAATTATAAATGGGTCTTGTATCTTGTCAAATGACTTTTCTATATTTATTGATATGAGCATATGATGTTTATCCTTCATTTTGTTTACGTGGTGTATCACATTGATTGATTTGCATATGTTGAACCATCCTTGTGCTCTTAGAATGAACCCCACTTGATCATACACATAATCTTTTTAATACCTTTTTGTATTGGATTTGCTAGTATTTTGTTTAAGATTTTTGCATCTGCATTCATCAGAGATATTGGTCTGTAGTTTTCTTTTTGTGTGTGTATTATCCTTACCAGGTTTTGATATCAGGATAATGTTGGCCTCTTAAAATGAGTTAGGAAGTATTGCCTCTTTTTCATTTTTTTGGAAGAGTTTAAGGACAGGTATTAAATCCTCTTTGAAAGTTTGGTGGAATTCACTAGTGAAGCCATCTGGTCCTGGACTTTTGCCTTTAGAGAGGTTTTGGGTGATTGTTTCAATGTTCTTACTGATAATCAGATTATTTAGCTTTTCCAGTTCTTTGTGATTCAGTCTAGGAAGGTTTTATATTTCTTCTAGGTTATTGAATTTGGTGATGTATATTTCTTTATAGTATCTTCGTATGATCCTTTGTATTTCTGTTGTATCTGTGGTAGCTTCTCTTCTTTAGTTTCTGATTTTATTTGTGACTTTTTTCTCCTTAGTGAGCCTAGCCAGGGGTTTGCCAATTTTATTAATATTTTCAAAGAACCAACTTTTTGTTGAGTTAATTTTTTCAGTTGTCTTTTTGTTCTCTATTTCATTTAGCTCTGCTCTAATTTTTATTATTTCCCTCTTTCTGCTGACTTTGGATTTTGTTTGTTCTTCTTTTTTGTAGTTATTTAAAATGTAATGTTAGGTTGTTTATTTCAGATTTTTCTTGTTTATTGAGCTAGGCCTGTAATGATATAAAATTTTCCTCTCAAAATATGGCTTTTGCAGTATCCCAAAAATTTTGATACAATGTATTTTTATTCTCATTTGTTTCTATGTGTCTTTTGATCTCTCCTTTTATTTCTTTTTTGAGCCAGTCATTCTTTCATAGTACGTTGTTTAATCTCTATGTATTTGTATATTTTCCCTCTTTCTTTTTGCAGTTGATCTCCAGTTTCAAAGCATTGTGGTCTGAGAATGTGTTTGGTATGATTTCAATCTTCTTAAATTTTCTAAGGCTGGTTTTATGTCCCAACATATCATCTATCATTAAGAATGTTCCATGTGCACTGGAAAATAATGTATAATCTGGTGTTCTAAGACAAAAAGCTGTGTAAATTATGTCTATTTGGTGTAATATGTCATTTAAGGATCACATTTTCTTAATGATTTTCTGTTTTGATGATCTATCCATAGCTGTCAATGGCATATTTAGGTCCCCTACTATAATTGTGTTTTGTCCTTTTCTCCCTTTAGTTCTGTTAATAGTTGCTTTATATATTTTGGTTCTCCCTACTTGGGAGCATATATAGAGGGTGCAAAAAAAAGTATACATATTTTAAGAAAGGAAAATAACTGTATTAATTGTAATACTCAACATATACTGATAAGAAAAGATGAATGAATACAAGACACGTTTGACTTCTGCAATTACAAGAGATGTTCAGAGTGGTTACCATCAATATCCAAACAATTGTGATTATGGTGAACTACTGCTTAAGCACAGATAACATCTTTTAAAATGTATATACATTTTTTTGGCACTCTCAGTATGTTGAGAAGTATTATGTTTTCTTGTTGTCTTGTCTCCTTTATCATTATTAAATATCCATCTTTGTCTCTTGTTATCTTTTTTGAAATCCTGAAGTGTGTTTTGACAGATATAAGGTATACCCACTTTTCAACAGATATACCCGCTTTTCTCTGGGTGCCATTTGCTTGGATTATCATTTTTCACTTTTTCAGTTTGAGTCTATGTTTGTCCTTGTAGCTGAGAAGTGTCTCTTGGAGGCAACATCTGATTGGGTTGTGTTTTTTGATCCAATCTACTACTTTGTGCCTTTTTCAGTGCATTCATTCCATTTGCATTTAGGGCGATTATTGATATATGAGGATTTTCTATAGCCATTTTACCTTTTGTTTTCTGGTAGATTAGTGTCTCCATTTGTTTCTTTGCCTTTGTTCTTCTGTCTGTTATTTTAGTTTGGTGGTATTTTATGATTTTTTCCTTCTTTTTTTATGTTATGTGTCGCAGTTCTGGATTTTTTTTAAGTGGTTACCATTAAGTTCATGCAAAAGAAAGTTTGATATATACAGTAGCCCTTTTCTTTTAGCATACATCTTATCTTCATTTTTCTTTAGAAGTTCAGACCTTTACTCCCTCCTTTTTTATTTTTTGTTGTCATAGATTAACTCCATTTATGCTATGAGTGTATTTCTGAGTTGCAGTAGGTAATTGTCTTCTTGTATTTTTTAAATTTTAATATTTTTATCTTCTTTTCCCTTTATGATGCATTTAAATGAATAGTGCTCTATTCTGTGTAGGGGTTGCCATTTCCTGCTTCTGTCTGTCTGTTAGTAATCTTACTCATAATTTTGTATCCTTTTGTCTTTTTGTCTCAGGTAGAATAGTCTCCTTCAGGATTTCCTGTAATGCAGGCTTTGTGGTGGAAAATACCCTCAGCTTCTAAATATTTGGGCAGATATTTATTTCTCCTTCATATCTAAAGGATAACTTTGCTGGATATATTATTCTTGGATGGTCATTTCTGTTTTTTGATATTTTGAATATTTGATTCCACTTCCTCCTGGCCTGTAGACTTTCTGCTGAATAGCCTGATATAATTTAATAGGCTTTCCTTTGTAGGCTACAATTTTCTTTTCCTTGGCTCCCTTGAGAATTTTTCTTTGTCATTATTTTTTGACAGCTTCAATATAATGCGCCTGGGAGGAGGCCTGTTAGGATTGAGGTAATTAGGCATTCCATTTGCTTTTTGGATTTGAGGATCCAGTTTTTTCCATAGGTTTTGGAAGTTCTCATCGAGTATTTGAATATACTCTCTGTGTCCTTCTCCTTCTCTTGAAATTCTGGTATACCCATTATTCTTATATTGCTCTTTCTGATAGAGTCAGATAGTTCTTGTACAGTTCTTTCATTTCTTTTAACTCTCAAATCTCTCTGTTCTTCTATTTGTATCATTTCCAGATTGGTATCTTTGATATCACTAATTCTTTCCTTCATGTGGTCAGTTCTGTTTCTTAATCTCACTATTTCATTTTCATCTCTTTTATTGAAATCTTCAAATCCAGAATTTTTATTTGGTTCTTTTTAAAAATTCCTTCTCTTTGTGAAGTATTCATTATGTTTGTTGATTATATTTCTAAGTTCATTAAGCTGCCTATCTGAATTTTCTTGCATCTCATTGAGTTTTTTTGAAAACAGCAATCCTGAATTCTCTGTCACTTAAGTCACATGTTTCCGTCTTTAAGTTTATTTTCTGGAGATTTTTCATTTTCTCCCTGAGCTGCCTTGTTACCTTGGTTATTCATGGTAATTGATGAATTCTCTTCCGGGGTATCTACAGCAGTGAATTCTGCACCAGGTTGGTATGAAGAAGCCATTCTTTTGCTTTCCAGTAGGTAGCACTGGAATGTTTTATTTTCTCTTGCCTTGCTCTGGCTTCTCGCATGGTGGGAGATTTCCTGGGCAAGTGAGTTTCTCCACTGTATCCAGGTCACCTCAGTCTCAGGGCATCACCCTCATGGGAGAATGTGGTGGGCGATGTGGTTTTGAGGCCTTGCAATCTCAGTGTTGCCTCAGCAGCCAGATGCAGAGCTGTGCACCTCAGCAGCCATGTGTGTCCCCACTGTGATCAGCTGTGAAAGGTGGGGACTGGGTTAGCTGGGAAAGGCAGCTGGTGTCTTTGTGGCTTTGTTTTCCTCCATTGTAATAACAATTGCCAGAGTACAGCTGCCTCACTCCTATAGCTCTTCCATTGTCATTGGAATTAGTCACTTGTCATTCAGGAACTGTTTCTCCAGTTCTCAGGGCTGTAGATATTCTGCTTTTTAATCCAACACTGCTGCAGTTTTTTCTGGGTCCTGTTGCTACCACTGGGAGGGTATGGGGGAGTTAAGCTCTGGGAGGTTTAGTGGAGACAGCCAGACTCAGTGGCTTTGTTTTCTGCCTGGCAGTGAGGGCTGTTAGACCACAGTTGTTGCACTTCTGTATTCTATCTTTGCCCTGTGTTGTCTGCCTTGATCACTGGTTCTACCATATTATATGCCGATCTCTCAAGCAGAATTGCTGGGACCACAGAGAGTACACCTGCCGTCTCAATCCTTCCCTCTCCCAGGAGCACATGGAGCTCTGGGCTGCATCCCACAGCCCCCATATCTGCATTTCTCCCTTCCCTTCTCCCCTGTTCACTTTGATTCCCCCACCTTCATATGCATTGATGGGCGAATCTCTCAGATGTGTTTGTGTGTTGTGTAGGGAATCCTTTGTTGAATTATAGCTGTTCAACTTGTAACTTCAAGGAGAGAATTCAAGGAGCATCCCTCATGCTGATATGTTTCTGATGTCACTCGTCAGAGTGTTTTAAAAGTGGATCATATTAGAGTGGTGAGAACAGACAGAGGAAATTATGCCAACTTTGCTAATAACCTTATGAAACTTTTGATACTTTATTTTATTAATGTCAACTAACTAATGACTTTTTTGTATGCAGTTACATACCATGATTTAAATAAATGACTTTCAATTTTTTTTTGATAGGTGGTATATTTCACAGCTATTTTCCCCTATATTGTCTTATTCATCCTGTTAATACGAGGTGCAACTCTGGAGGGTGCATCAAAGGGCATTTCATACTATATTGGAGCACAGTCAAATTTTACAAAACTTCAGGAAGCTGAGGTAAGACTTAATTTGAATTTCAAATTATCTGAGATATAACCTTAAATGCAAATACTGAAAGTCTTTGGTTGCATATGAAACTGTCAAAATATAGTAGCTTGCAAAAATATGCAATTAAACTTATTAGTGTTTCATTCCACTAGGATGTCTGACTTAACTATTTAACATGACACTAATGCTTTCTTATTGGAGGCAATACCATCAATTTTAGCAATAGGATTTTTAAATTCATTTTATTCATGTAACTGATTTATTTGATCAAAAGTATTTAGGGTTTATTAATCTAAGAAAAAAAATGTATGCATGAATACCTACAAATTGTTGACTAAGACTATGTGACTTATTGATAAACTCATAGTAGATTTTAAGATTATAGTTGAAAGTGTAATGGACTAATATACATTTTAATTGTCTTCAAAAGCTAATATCCCAAAAGTAAGATCGAATTTTGCCTAATGGATTATAAAGTTAAACCACTATTTTGAAATAGATGAAGCATTCCATCAAGAAAATTGTTACTGGTGCCAGAAACAGAAACATGAGCCATGAATATAAATTGGGTAACCCTCTTTTTACTTTAATCCATCTCTAATTAATGGCTGTGTGCATCACAAGTACATAAAATCTTTTACAATTTTGACTGCAAAGAGCATTGAAAGTAAGTGTAGTCTATATACCATGCTTGTGTTGATACAGCCTAAGAATGCGTTCACTTTTGTTTAGTAGTCACACCTAGTAGTGTTATCCAATAATGGATATTAGTTTTACTTTGCAATGGTGTATTTTGTGGAACTCATGCTTATTTACAGAAAATTCTGTTTTCTAAGTACAGACATACTGCATTTTATTGCACTTCACACATAATGCATTTTTTTTACAAATTGAAGGTTCGTGGAAACACTGTGTTGAGCAAGTCTATTGGTATCATTTTTCCAAAAGCATTTGCTCACTTCATGGCTCTGTGTCACATTTTGATAATTCTCTCAATATTTCAAACTTTTTCATTATTATTATATTTGTTATGGTGATCTCTAGTCAGTGATCTTTGATGTTACTATTGTAAATATTTGGGGGCATCACAAATTACACCCATGTAAGATGGCAAACTTAGTAAAAAAAATATGTGTGTTCTGACTGCTCTTCCAACCAGCTGTTCCCCTGTCTCTCTCTTTTTCCTTGGGCCTCCCTATTCCCTGAGACACAGCAATATTAAAATTAGGCCAATTAATAACCTCACAATGGCCTTTAAGTTTTCAAGTGAAAGGAAGAGTTGCAAGTCTCTCACTTAAAGCAAAAGTTAGAAATGATTAAGTTTAGTGAGGACAGTACTTTGAAAGCTGAGATATGCTGAAAGCTAGGTCTCTTGCACCAAATGGTTAGTCAGATTGTGGATGCAAAGGAAAAGTTCTTAAAGGAAATTGAAAGTTCTACACCAGTGGAAACATGAATGCTAAGAAAGAGAAACAACCTTATTGCTAATATTGAGAAAGTCTGAGTGGTCTGGATAGAAGATCAAGTCAGCCACCACATCCCTGATGCCAAAGCCTAAACCAGAGCAAGGCCCCAACTCTTTTCGATTTTATGAAGGCTGAGAGAGGAGATGAAGCTGCAGAAGAAGAGTTTGAAGCTAGCAGAGGTTGGTTCATGAGGTTTCAGGAAAGAAGTTATCTTCATAACATAAAAGTGCAAGGTGGTAAAGCAGCATGAACTGATGTAGAAGCTGCAGCAAGTTATACAGAAGACCTAGCTAAGTTAATTAATGAAGGTGGCTACACTAAAGAACACATTTTCACTGTATGCAAAACAGCTTTATATTAGAGGAAGATGCCACCTAGGACTATGATAGCTATAGAGGAGAAGTCATTGCCTGGTTTCAAAGTTTCAAAGGACAGGCTGCCATTATAAAGGAATTATAGTGTAATAATAATTTAATATCAAGCTTTATTCTGCAGACTTAGTAATATTTATTTTACAATCTAAAAACTTCATTTCCATTGAAACTGGATATAGATTACATACCTATTGGGGGAAAATTATTGTTTTTAACTTATATAAAAAACAAGTATCAATTTATAATTATTTTCCATAATAAGAAAAATAGCTACCATTGAGCATCCTGCTAATTGCTTTACATATGTTATCTCATTTATTTCTCACATCATTCCTAGGACACATAATAATTATTATTGCCATCTCCATTTTATAGATAAAAAAGTTTTAAAGATGTTAAGTAAATTGAAGTCAGAGAGTGAGAGGCATTGAATGTAAACTTCATTCTTTTTTACTCAATTGTACACCTAGGATCTATGTAACTTTTGTCACCCCAATACATTTTAATTAAAAAAAGAATAAAAAAACAAGAGCTAGAGCTCTTAGTCATATTATATTACCTAATATAATATTAGCATATTATATTACCTGCCTTTCACTGTCCAGTCAAGTTTTCAGATGCACTAAAAAAAACACTTTTGCACCAATATATGCCAGCTCTATTATTTGAAATCTTTGGGGTAATGTTATATCTACAGAATTTCACTGTTAACATAAATTTAACTAGATTAGTTTCTAAAATTAATTGTTGTATTTCAGCAAATACACAGGAGGAGTAAATTGCAAAAGGGAGAATACTAAAGGGGTAGGATTAGATGAAGAATGTCGGGGTGGGGGGTGCTACTTAAAGAGATGAGAACACCTAATGAGGCGCTAGGCAAAACATGGAATGAGGGAAGTGGGTGATATAAGGGATGCTAAATGTATCACCATTCTTCAAAAATTGCCTAGTACTATCCTTGTTAAGAATTATATGTTCCTATTGTACCTAAATTGATATGTAGAGACAACGGAATTCCAATCAAATTCCTTGCAGTATTTCATGAAACTTGAAAGATGATTCTAAAAGTTATGTGAAAAAAAAGGCCAAAAAAAAATAAAACAAAACAAGATGTTCCTGAACAAGTGAAGAAGATGTGTCTTAGCAAGTATGAAACATTATTATAATGCTATACTAATGTAAATAATTTGGTATTAATATAGATATAGACATATAGACCAGTGGAACAGAATGGTAATATCAAAAATATTCATCAACATGTGGAACTTGATATGTGGCAAGGTTCCAATGCAGGTCAATGGGAAAAGGATGGACTACCCAACTGATAGAATTGATATCTAATTGATATAATTAATCATATCAATTCTCCTTAGACAGTTGATAATCCATTTCAAAAAATAAAATGGCAGTTCTTCTTTTAATATTTTTTAATTTTTCAATTACAGTTAACATAGACTATTATATTAGAATCAGGTGCACAAGATAGTGATTAGATATTTATAAAATTTACAATGTGATCACCCCAACATATCTACTAATCACCTGATACCATGCATGGTTATTATATTATTGACTATGTTCCCTTCCCCATAATTTACATCCTCATGATTATTTTGTAATTACCAATTTGTACTCCTTAATCCATTCCCCTTTTTCACCCATCGTTCCAATGTTCATCCCATTTGGCAACCATCACAATGCTCTCTGTATCTATGAGTTTATTTCTGTTTTGTATGTTTGTTTATTTTCCTTTTTAGATTCCGCATGTAAGTGAAACTGTATGATATTTGTCTTTCTCTGTCTGACTTATTTCAGATAGCATAACACCCTCTAAGTCCATACATGTTATCACAAATGGAAGGATTACATTTTTTATGGCCGAGTAATATTCCATTGTATATATGTACCACCTCTTCTTTATCCTGTCATCTATTGATGGGCACTTAGGTTGCTTCCATTTCTTGGCTATTGCAGATAGTGTTAACATAGCGGTACATATATCTTTTCAAATTAGCTTTTGGGTTTCTTCAGATAAATACCCAGAAGTGGAATTACTAGGTCCTTCTTACTTATTGCTATTTTATTATTCATATTTTTCTCTTTTTTTTCTTCTTCTTAAAGAAGTCCACTTAGCATTTCTTGCAATGCTGGTTTGGTGGTGATGAATTCCTTTAACTTTTTCTTGTCTGCAAAGCTCTTTATCTCTCCTTCAATTTTAAATGGTAGCTTTGCTAGGAAGGGTAGTTCTGGTTGTAGGTCCTTACTTTTCATCTTTTTTAATATTTCGTGCCAATTGCTTCTGGCCTGCAGTTTCTGTTGAGGAATCAGCTGACAGTCTTATGGGAGCTCCCTTGTAGGTAACTAACTGCTTTTCTTTTGCTGCTTTTAAGATTCTCGCTTTGTCTTTAACCTTTGGCATTTTAATTATAATGTATCTTGGTATGGGCCTCTTTGGGTTCATATTGTTTGAGACTGTCTGCTCTTCTTGGGCTTGTATGTCTATTTCCTTCATCAAGTTAGGGAAGTTTTCCATCATTACTTCTTCAAATAGGTTTTCAATTCTTTGCTTTCTTTCTTCTCCTTCTGGTACCACTATGATGTGAATGTTGGTACATTTGATGTTGTCCCAGAGGTCCCATAAGCTATCTTCATTATTTTGGATTGCTTTATCCTTTTGCTGTTCTGATTGGTTATTTTCTGCTACCTTATCATCCAAACCGCTGGTTCGATCCTCTGCTTCATCTAATCTACTGTTGATTTCCTCTAATGTAGTCTTCATTTAAGTTATTGTATTCTTTATTTCTGACTGGTTCTTTTAGTGGTTTCTATGTCCTTTTTTATGCTTGATATCTCTTTATTTAAGTTCTACTGAGACTGTTGAGCATTGTTATAACTAGTATTTTGAGTGCTGCATCTGGTAGCTTGCTTGTCTCCATTTTGTTTAGTTTTTTTCTGGAGCTTTCTTCTGTTCTTTCATTTGGACATGTTTCTTTGTCTCCTCACTATTCCTGCCTTCCTGTGTTTGTTTCTATGTATTAGGTGGACTGCTATGTCTCCTGGTCTTAGCAAAGTGGCCATATATAGTCGGTTTCCTGTGGGGCTCAGTGGTGCCATATCCCTGACACTTGAGCCAGGTGCTTCAATGTGTTTCTTGTGTGGGTGTGGGTGCCCTCTTGTTATAGTTGAGCCTTAGATGTTGTTTGCATGTGAATGGTAGGGATTGTCCCTCAGACTTATTGGTTGTGAGGGGTGGCTGTGACTACAGTGGATGAGCTGTTGTCAAGGTGCTGAACCTACAGAGCAGGATTCACTTCAGTGGGGCTCTGGTGCCTCCTGAGTCTGCCCTTTGGGTGTGTCATTTGTGGAAGTTGGGTAGTGCTCTTGTGTGGTCTAAAGCTGGCCATCAGGTGTGTTGCATCTGGGGTCTCTTGGAAGGACTCTGTTGCAGGCATGGTCAGCCACTGCCTGTGATCTTTCCGGAGCCACTTGGTATGAGCTAAAACGTGATTTACGTGAGGTTGCCACTTTTGCTGGGCTGCAGGATAAGCTGCAAACTGAGTCCAGCTGCCACTTGTGCTGGGCTTGGGGAAGCTTAGTAAGAGGTACAGGGCATGATGAGATCTGATACTGCTTGTTTGGGGTTTGTGAACCTTTGAAAGGTGTTAGGGAAGTCCACAGAATGAGCCAAGACATGCCATTTGTATGGGAAAAAACCTGGAAACAGCTTGGGTGGGCCTGCTAGCTGGGTGGGACGGTGTCTCAGGAAATCACACAAGGGAAGGTTGTAAGGTGTTAGGTTTATGGAGACTCAGATATGACATCCATCTGCATATGCAGGCTGGGTGGAGGGAGAGCTAAGCAAATTAACAATGGCTTCTAACAACACTTCTGTCTGTGAAAAAGCTGCCCCTCACATCTTTGCCCCAAAGTCAGGCAATTCACTTTCTCTCTATAGTGACTTTTGAGCTATTGCTTCAGAGCTGAAGCTCAGAGTTAGTGAGTTCATGTGCAGACCCTTCAAGAGGAATACCTGCGACTCTAGCAGCCATCCATCTGATTCAGTCACACTCTTTGCTGGTTTTCATGGCCAAAAATTATGGGAACATCTCTCTCCAGCACTGAAACCCCGAGGTGGAGAGCCTGGTTGGGACTGGGACCCCTCTATCCTCAGGACATACCTCTACAGCTGAGCTTTACCTCCCAATTTTTAACTGCCACATATGTCTGTGGGACCAACTTTTTCTGTGTCTCCACCTCCCCTACAAGTCTCCATGTGACTCTCTTGTATATCCTTAGTTATAGGCCTTCTGTTCAGCTAGACTTCAGGTGATTCTCAATGATGGTTGTTCTGTGGTTTATTGGGTTGTTGGAAAAGTCATGACGTAGTTTTTCTATGTTTTTTATTGTAATGTTGATGTGATCATGGGAGAAGGGCAGCACAGATTTTACCTATTCCACCATCTTTACCAGAACTTGGGATTTCTAATGTGCACAGTATCACTTGCAGGTGAATTGAAAACAGCAATATAAGCCAAACTTTAAATCTTTTAGGAAAAAATATAGCATAGTACCTTTATGACCTTAGGTTAAAGGGTTTTTTTAAAGTCAGAGAAATCAAGGTCAATACATAAAAGCAAAGATGGACACCTTCAACTACATTAAAACAACAACAAAATTCTTGGTTTATCCAAGGATACAATGTTAAGACGTTAAAAAAAATATTAGCCACGATGTGGGAGGAAGAGATTAACATATAGACAAAAGATTAGAATCCAAATTACAGAAAGTATTCCTAGAGTTCCAATAAGACAAATAACCCAAGCAAAATTTGCAAAAGACATGAACAGGAATTTAACAGAGGAAGTAAAACCTAACTATGGAATATAAACACATAAAAATATGCTAAACCTTATAAGTCATTAGATTAATCAACTCTCATTTCAAAACCACTAGATTAGACCATATTAAAAATTTTGACCAATGTTAGCAACATTGCTTTCCCATAGGAATGGGAAATCTCATAGCTAGCTGGTGGAGTGTGAAGTAGTACAAACCACTTTGAGGAATAATTTTGCAATATTTAGTAAAAGAGAAGATTCAGGTTTTGTTGAATGAAGACTTCTGCTGAAACTAATTCTAAAAAATGTGTATTTCATAATAAAAAATAATTTAATAAAAAAAAAGAAAAGAAAGAGAAGATTCAGATACTCTATGAGATCACAGTTCCACAACTAGCTATGAGGAGACATACAAGAATAGTCACAGCTACATTATTTTTTTCTGTTTGTTTTTTTAAGATTTTATTGGGGAATTGGGGTAGGGGAACAGTGTTGGGGAATTGGGGAAGGGGAACAGCCAAGTTGTTGTCCTTCAATCTTAGTTGTGAAGAGCACAGGAAGCTCAGCTCCAAGTCCAGTCGTGCCACTCAGCTCAAGGTGCTGTATTCAATTAGTTGCGGGTAGACATAGCCACCATCCCATGTGGAAGCCAAACAAGCAGCCTCGTTGTTAAGAGCTCACACTCTATCCACTGAGCCATATTGGTGGCAGCTCAGCTCAAGTGCCGAGTTCAGTCTTAGTTGCAGATGGCCCTAGCCCACCATCCCATGCGGGTGTCAAACCAGAAACCTTGTTGCTACCAGCACACGCTCTAACCACTGAGCCATCCGGCCACCCATCAGCAACTCAGGGCAGCTCAGCTCAAGGTGCCATGTTCAATCTTAGTTGCAGGTGGGCATAGCCCTCCATCCCATGCATGAGTCGAATTGGCAACCTTGTTGTTAGGAGCATGTGCTCTCACCAGCTGAGTCATCCTGCTACCTGTTGGCAGCTCAGTGGCAGCTCAGCTCAGGCACGGTTCACTGGCCCATGTGGGAATTGAACTGGCGACCCTGTTGCTCAGAGCTTGCACTCTTGAGCAAGCTCTTAACCAACTGAGCCACTCTGCCTGCCCTGCTACATTGTTTTTAATACCAAAATAATAAACAACGTAAATGTTCATGAATAGGATAAAGTATTTAAGTGTGTTATACACAGTGGGGCAATACAGGAGCAAAAAAAATATTCAAAACTACGTATATTTAACTGAACTGTATAAATTTGCTTATATTTTTTCATTTCTCACTTACAAGATTGAAATTTCAAATTGATAAGGGATAAATCTCATACAACACTGAATGAAAAAATTGTATAAGTTTACAGATATTAAGAAAACTTTGGCTAAAGAACAGATATGGGAAATGAGATGTTTTGAATTCTTCAGAATAAAATCAATACATAATCAATAGAATCCCTTTTTTTTTTAGCTGAGCCATCCTGCCACCTGTTGGCAGATCAGTGGCAGCTCAGCTTGGGCCGGGACTCAAACCGCTGTTGCTCAGAGCTCGCACTTTTGAGCGAGCTCTTAACCAACTGAGCCACTCAGCCAGCCCTTCAATACACAATCAATAAACATTTATTGAGTCTGTATTATATCTGACTCTGTCACTTATATAAAAAAATCAGCATAGAATATATATTGATATTAGATGCAAGAGGCAGCAGTAAGGTTTCATTGCTGTACATTTGCATAAATTGTGACAAATAAAGACCTGAGTAAACAAAAAAAAGAAAACTTTTCTATAAATTCAAAAACATGCAAAGCTAAATGTTTCATGTTTAAGTTTGCATATTTATGTGGTAAAAATATAAAGAAAAACAAGAAAATGATAAACACAGAAGTTTAGATAGTGTTTACCACCAGAGGTTGAAAGAATGATATGATCAGGAGGGGGCATACAGGGTCTTTAGAAAACAGATAACATTGTGTTTCTTAAGCTGAGTAGTGGGTGTTTATTTCATTGTATTTATAATATTTATTAATTTGTATATATGAAATATTGGGTTGTTGGCAAAGTCATGATGTATTTTTTCTATGTATGTTTTTCATTGCAAAAATGTGTCATGAGTTTTCCAACAACCCAATATTTTATGCAAATGAAAATTAAGAATATGTTTTTAAATATTAAATTATTTTCTCTTATAGGTTTGGAAAGATGCTGCCACTCAAATATTTTACTCCCTTTCAGTGGCTTGGGGTGGTTTAGTTGCTCTATCATCTTACAATAAGTTCAATAACAACTGCTTCTCAGATGCCATTGTGGTTTGTTTGACAAACTGCCTCACTAGTGTTTTTGCTGGATTTGCTATTTTTTCTATATTGGGACACATGGCTCATATATCTGGAAAGGAAGTCTCTCAAGTTGTAAAATCAGGTATGGAATGCTATATATTATTAATTTTAATTAATTCAGTATAGCTCATTTGAGGAACACTAATATGTTTTACAGCATTTACTTAAAGTGCTCAAGATTTAGAGTATTGCATTTCCTTTCTCATTTCATTTTGTATAGCTTGGTTGTTTTAATGATGGAATAATTCTTAAATGATCTGAGAAAACAATACTACATTTGGGAACAATTATTTTAAAAGATTTTTTTTCTGAATTTTGTTTAGTCCTTAATATGAACTTCTTACTACATAATTACAAGTATCAGGCATCTTACTAAGCACTTTACATATATTCTCTCTCTCTCTCTCTCTCTCTCTCTCTCTCTCTCTNGAAAAAAAACCAAAGTTGAAAAGAAAGCACCTCAGTCAAATTGGTTATTTCTTGATGTCATTAAAAACAATTTATTTGACCAAATTAAAACTTTTTTATTTATAAAATATGTTTTGTTTTGTTTTTGCTATGAAACCTATTTGTTGTATTTGACCTAAGGGCTAAAAGTATAACTTTTCTATTTTGTTTTGTTTTTGTAGTGTTATTTTTAATATCTTCTTATAGCCTAGATGTGAGAAAGGGGAGTCATAGCCAGGCATTCAGAATAAATTTATGAGCCAAATAGACATGCCCCCGCATACACAGAGCTTGGAATCTAGTAGAATGTATAAAGGAGTGAACAGATGCATCAAGCATAAATTGCTCTGTGATTCTAGAGGAGAGAGATATACTACTTTTCATTTTAGAATGTAAAAAAAAAAAAAATCAGACCCCAATTAGTTAGATCTCTCTGTTTCTCTCTTTCTCTGTTCTCTCTCTGTCTCTCTCTGTCTCTCTGTCTCTCTCTCTCTGTCTCTCTCTCTCTGTGTCTCTCTCTCTCTCTCTCTCTCTCTCTCTCACACACACACACACACACACACACACACACACACACACACATACACACAGGGTGCCAAAAATGTATGCATGTTTTAAGAAAGGAAAACTGTATTAAAATTGTAATACTCAATATATACCAATAATACAAGATGAATAAAAGTTACATTTGACTTCTGCAATTACAAGAGTTGCACAATGTGGTTACCATCAGTGTCCAGACACCTCTGATTACAGCAAACTATTGCTTGAGCAATGTTGATTGAAATGTCCACTTGTATACATTTTTTTGGCACCCCATATATACATGTTTTATTCATATATATAAAAGAGAGCCTATATAGTCTATAGTCTGTATCATCTATCTATCTATCTATCTATCTATCTATCTATCATCTATCTATCTATCTATCATGTATCTATCTATCATCTATCTATCTATTCCTCTATGTACAATTATAGTATTGGGTCTGAATTTTTAAAAACATATTAATAGAATATAGATAGAAACCCAAGTAACTTTGAGTGTGTCTACCTGTGTCCAGTTTGAAAGTAATCTGATTAATAAACTTCCTAATTTTAAAGGCATTAGCTAAGGATGCTTAGTTATTTGGCTAAAGATTCTTAGGAAAATAATTCTAGGGTTCTTTTAAGTAGCAATTTCTTACTAAATTTTTATTTATGGTTGGTATCATTTGATGGAGAGATGGATGAATAATAAAATGTTAGGACTAAAAGGGACCTTGGAGATCATTTCCAGCTCTTCATTTACCGAGGAGTGAATGGATGCACAGAAATATTATTTCTTGCAGAAGATCAAATAATTTTGAAGTGACATAGCCTAGGCTAGAAGCAAATTCTTCTGTATCATATGTCGTTCCTCTTTGAAGCTGGAGAAACTTAAAATACTTAAAAATAAGTATCACATAATACAATTGAATTAGAAAAAAATCTCGAAAGGTAACATACATCACGTAGAAAACAAAATTCAATTCTGATTCTTGGTAAACATTTGGAGAGATGGTTGAAGACTAAAAAGTTAGTTCCATAAACATATCTTATTTGATAGTGTAATTGTTTTAGAATTTCTAGGCTAAAATAGGGTTACCTAATTTAGGAAAGTTGTTATTCTTCATCAATCTTAAAAAAATAAAATCAGTTAAACAAAATCACTGAAATTGTTATGATTTCTTATATAAGATATGTACCATTTACAAAGTTGATCTCACTAGCTTAATTCATGCCACATGTTCACATTATCACATCATAGAAAAACCAAGTCAAATATTTTTAAAAGTGAAATAGTTGCTAAAGAGTGTGTATCATGAATTGAGTTGCCAAATTAAAATGAGATTTTTCTAGTATCTTATTTGGAAAATGTCCAAATATGTGAATTTTCTTTGTAACTAGTTTAAACTAAAGTGCCATACATTTTTCTTAGGTTTTGATTTGGCATTTATTGCTTATCCAGAAGCTCTAGCCCAACTCCCAGGTGCGCCATTTTGGTCCGTATTATTTTTCTTCATGCTTTTGACTTTGGGTCTTGACTCTCAGTTTGCTTCCATTGGTAAGTAATACTCCCTGTGTTAACCTATCCCTCTTATGCTGTACTCATGTTTTCTGTACTTAAAAATATCCTTTTCTTACCCTTGTTTCCTCCCCAAGCATTTACTCTCATAATGATCTTTCTGAAAATTTTTTTAACTTAAATTTTAAAAATACAAAGTATACATGTACAGACACCCAAAGGGAACAAATATTGATATTTTATCATATTTGCTTCAGATGTTTTTAGGAAAATAAACTGTTACAGATGAATTTGAAGTCCCCTATGTCTCTCTCGCTAATATAATTCACATTTCTTCCTTCCTAGAAGCAACCATCACTATGGATGATGTATGTTACTCAGTACATGTTTAGTAGCTGATGTATAAATGTATAGATATAGTTAATTCACAATCTGTTGTCACAATGATGGGCATTTGGATTATTCCTAGTTTTTAAAACTGACACTGCTGAAATGATTATTCTTGCCCATGACTCTATATACATATCATAATTTTCCCTAGGGTACATGCCTAAAAATTCTGAAACAGTTTTTATTTTTTCAACCTCTTACATGAACCTTTTTAATAGTTTGTTATTTACAGGATAATTTCCAGCCTTCTCTAATTGACTTTCAAAGCCCTCAAAAATTTCAAACATGTTCCATAATCCTATGTTCATATATTCTTGTATTTTTAGTTGGTACCCTGTTTCATGAACACATTTCTTTCTTTTTTTTAAAAGATTTTATTGGGGAATTAAGGAAGGGGAATAGTGTTGGGGAATTGGGGAAGGGGAACAGCCAAGTTGTTTTCCTTCAATCTTAGCTGTGGAGTGTGCAGCTGGCTCAGCTCCAAGCCCAGTCTCCATCCAGCCACCAGTTGGCAGCTGGCAGCTGCTCAGCTTAAGGTGCCATGTTCAATCTTAGTTGTGGGTGGGCATAGCCCACCATCCCATGCGGGAGTCGAACAGTCAATCTTGTTGTTCGGAACATGTGCTCTCACCAGCTGAGCCATCCTGCCACCTGTTGGCAGCTCAGCAGCAGCTCAGCTTGGGCGCAGCTCACTGGGCCATGTGGGAATCAAAGAGGCAATCCTGTTGCTCAGAACACGTGCTCTTAACCAACTGAGCCATTCAGGTGGCCCAAACACATTTGTTTCTTAAACCTGGAAGGCCTTTCTGTCTCCATGCATTTATTCAAATATTCACCTTATTTAAAATTTGTACTAGAGGGCCGGCCCAGTGGCTCAGTTGGTTAAGAGCTCGCTCATAGAGCTTGAGCTCTGAGCAACAGCAGTTCGAGTCCAGCCCGAGCTGAGCAGCCGCTGAGCTGCCA